TCCTTTGGCACCGCTGCAGAGCTCTCCAGGTACCCACAACTCCCGGAAAGTGCCATTCAGTTTGGCAAATTCCACTGGTGCAGCCTACAGATCCTCAGCTCTCTCTTAGCCTTGTTCTCAAATGCCTTCTTAAGTAATGTCCATACCAGTTTTGTTACATTTATCTCCTGCGCACTGGCCCACACGTTTGCTGGGACTCCCAGCCCTCCCGCTCCTCCAGATTCCTCAGATCCTGTCTCTTTTCTCCAGTTACAATTGTCTGTGCTTCTTACATCCCATCAAGAGGTTATAAAACTTTACCAAAGTCTCTTCTCCTGTTCCCGCGTTAGGGAAAGCATCTGGAGTTGTTCCCCAGGGAAAGATCAAAGCTGCCCCATTGATACTCATGGATTGCTTGGTATTACACCCACCCCACAGACTTTATGGGACTGATCCACAAGTCAGGACCAACTGTGTGAGCTCTGCCAGCCACAGGCAGAGCAATCTGTGCATCTCTTGGCTTCTCGTCCATTTTCCACAATCCCTAACACGGTGATAATTTTCCTTGCCAGCCAGATGGGAACAGACCAATTAGTGAAAGCTAATTTTCAGATTTCAAAGATGTTCTTGAGTTTAAATAAGTATCAGTCTCTACACTTCTAAATTGAGCAGAATCTTTTTTTTTTCAATTTAAATTATTCCATAAAAATTATGTATAGTATAATCTTAAACCTATTAAATACAGTTCCATTTTTCAGCCAGCTGATTTACACCAGCAGACGTCTGTTGAAGTGATAACTCAAATCAGAGAGAATCAAAGGTTTTCTCTATGATTATTTGTATCATAGAGCTGTGTAGAATTGGAGTCGTATAGGAAGGGTTTATGTGTGTGTGTGTGCAGGGAGACCGTACAAACACAAAACAAAAAGAAATGTACAACCTAAGGAGCTGTAACCTAAACTAATGGAGCAGTTATGCTGCCAGTCTCAGTATTGTAAGGCTCTGAGAAGTCAAAGTGTTTAAGCAATCCCTAACTTTAACTCACAGTTACAAACAATGTTTACTCAAGCACTGTGTTTCAGGGTTAATCTTATGAAATTCACACACTTGGAGGTAAAATCTATTTTTCACAGTTCTGTGCTGTTTCCTCAGCTCTATTTTGATCTTTCTGGTAGTCTGCCTGGGTAGCAATCAGACAACAGAAGGTGATAAATCAGAAATTGCAATCACTGCTCAAATGAGGAAAGCTTTAACAGAAGCCTGCATCTGAGTAGGAAGAATGGTTTTCTTTTTCCTTTTGACTCCAGCAGCAATATGAATTCCTAGCGGTAAAACACCGACCATGTTTCAAAAAGTCACATGCTGCATTGCAATATATAACAAGAGGTCTCTGTCAAACCTGCTTAGGCCCAAAATTGGACAGAGATTAAAAATAAACCCCATCACTCCAGTGGTGGGAATTTCAAACACCCCTGGGGTACAATCTTTGCAGGAGGCACATGGAAAAGATCTGTAAACTCAGTTCCTATTGGTGTCTCTGCAGCATCAGTCAGCAAAGCTCAAGTGTCCACCCCAGATGCAGGGTATAAGAATTGGTAAATGTTGCACAGAAGTAAATTATGTGTTTCAGATAATATTGTTTTATGAAAAAGAAGGCAAGGTAGACAGAGTCCTAACAAAATCCATGACGATAAGAAACCAGTTTTGTTTTCTCCGTAAATCGCTTTCTGGGGATGGAGCCTTGAGGGCTTCCATTCTTCTGAAAGAGCCACCTGAGCTTGATTTCTGCCTGTGTTATCCTAGGACAGGAGAACTCTCAGAAGAGGCTTAATTGCTCCAGTGGAGGACACCTGCAAAGGCCTCAACCTGGTTTGTCCTCCCTTCTCCTTCAGAGCAGCCCACCGTCCAGAATACGTTACAGTCTGGTCAGCCAAGCTCAGACCTGTGGTGCAACCTGAGCCTAGGGGATGTCTGGCCTTTCACAGCACCAAACACCCAAAATATTTCATAAAACACCCAAAATATTTCCATCCCTGAGAACCATGCTTTAAGAAGGCCAAGGATAAGAAGGAAACATCATTCCTATGAGGTGGCTCCCTCTGACAGAGGGACTGAGAGGACAACAGGAGACAACTCGTGAGTTCCCAGGGTGAAGTCTGACCAGAACAGTAAAGCAGAGACCACACATGCTCGAAAAACGAAGCTGAGGTTTCTCGATTTGGAATAGTTCCCTCGACTTAGGGACCCAAGCTGTTTGTTTGGGAACAGACAAGAGCATCATCTCTTACTTTACAACATCCCTGGAGAGGCTACTGCTCCCAGGAGGTAGAGGTGAGCACCACTTTCCTGTTTTAAACAACTATGAGCTCCTTTTCTTGGTGGAAATCCCTGAGATTGGGGGTCTTTGTGTCTTTGATCCTCAAGTGTGGTCTGCAGTGAGGTGAAAAAGCCCCTGAGGACCCACTTCTGTGCTTAATTTTCCCTCAGACACATCTGTGCCCAATGCATCGACCTTTGGAGCACCAATGCATCTCCATGTGCTTCTGTATCTGTTCTTGCAGTCCAGACCTGAACGTGGCCTTTTGTACCTCAGTTATCATTCTGCTGATGAGATAAGAATATTTTTATTCTGTGCCTCGTTTGTTTAAATGTCAGCCCTTTAAATCAGAAGCATCCCTCACTGTGCATAAATCTGAGAGAGCATCAAGGGGATTTGAATGGGAGCTGTAAGTACAGTAAAAATGGCAGTAAAACTATACATCCTGTGTACAAATACATTCTTAATTGCTCTTGTTCAAATACAATCCTCTGTGAACTTTTTCTCTATTGCTGTAGACTAGCTATAATATAAATATCTCTTGACTGCTCAAATGATGTGGCTGGGAAGAAGATTCCTCCCACTGAGAATGGAGACATTTTTGAATACAGAGCAGAACAGGTTACAATGAATATTCAGAAACTCATGGAGTCAACTTTCCATGCACACAGATTAAATCATAAAAAAATGCCACTGCCTGCAGTATCAATGCCTAGTCATAACTGCACTATTTATAATGGGGTATTAAGCTTTAGTTATGTTTCTGTCTCAGGCTACATAAACCACCAGGAAAGGAGAGAATAAATCAGGCTCTTGCAGATTACTTGGTAGTAGTAAACAGGAGGCTGCACTGCTCACAGTTCTGCTTTGCAAGGAAAGTCCACGGTCAAGAGGTGCTGGGATGGGTTGGGGGAAGCAGGACCTCAGTTACCATTAATCAAATGAAGAACCAAAGGGCAGTGGCTCATCTCAGAGCTGTTCCTCAGGCGAACAAAGAGTAACAGATTCCCATCCAATAATTTTTCTCTTTTTAGTAACAAGATTATCAAATATCCCCCTTTTCTTTTGTTGTTTTTAATAACCTTCCACTTTCAAAGCTGAGGAGCCTTGCAGCAAATGAATGTATTTGGCTACAGGTCCTGCACAGGCATATAAACCCTAGATAAGCTAAAACTGTTTTTAATAATGGATTTAGGCAATGGTGTTATGTCCACCTTCTAATCTTTAATTGGATGTCAGAGTTAGCAGGCTGATAACTTGGCTCACTATCAATTTAATTCTGTTTTGACTGCTGATAAAGGAATTGCACCGTTTGACAGCGGGAAGGACAGGCTAAGGAAGTTGGAGTGATTTGATGCTCAAACACCCTGTACGTGAAGATGCATCACGTTGATTGCTGCAAGGAGACACTTACTGTGGTCCACCCAACCTGCTGACCCAGGTCTGTAAAATACAGCGTAATGATGGAGGAAACGGCGAGACTTTGAATGTTAACGGAATCCTTCAAGTAGGGCCCATCTGCAATGACAAAAAGGGAAGAGGAAACGCCATGAACAAGAGGCATCCTCTCAGCAGCTCAGCACAACATGTAGACTGCCCTGTTAATGGCCAAGGTGTAGGCCCAACATGTACTCTGATTTATTTTGCTGGCTTGGTACTTATTCTCCAGGTTAGCAGCTCAGAACATCTCTAGGAGAGTTATTCTCCTCTCATTTTAACAAAAGCATTAGCCTGACGTGTCTCTGGTGGCAATGCATCGCACTTGTTACGGTGCTATCTCTGTTCATCTAGGCCATTAGAGACATGCCGTGCAATCACACAGACAATTTCCTATCGCACTTTCTGTTCTGTCTTGCAAGACTAATGGGAAAGTCGATGTTATGCAGCGTCTCCCTCGCCGATACCTTTTGCTGAAGCTTCTGCATTTTCAGGCTGTTTTACAAGAGGTAATGAACACAACTTCTCGGGCAAAGGCCCACAGTCAAGGTCTCTTTTTAAGCTGTCTGATCCAAGCAGACCCGCATTATTTTGCTTTCAGGCCTGATGGACCCAGAGTGTAGAAGCAGAGCTATAAAATGGCAATATTTGGGGTTTTTCTTGCATATAGAGCCTGTGAGATGGATATTAGGAAACCCCAGCAGCCACTGGCATGGCATGTTGCTGCGGTTGTGACACTTCTTTTCTCTTTGCCACTTTATGTATTGTATCTCCCTTTCGATATTTCTCGACTGTTTAAGTTAGCAAGGGTGCTAAATTCCACCAGATGCTGAGCTCTCCTTTTCTAGGGCTCTGCAGTGCTGCATGCCCACAGACCGAATGCCACATGGCCAGTGGCAGCTTCATCTTCCACTGCCACATCCACCAAAACTGGTGTACTGGCCCAAAAAAGAGGCTCCTCCTGCAGTCAGTTGTATCTTCTGAGGAGGCTGTGAGCAAGTGTTACCACTGATATAACACAGTAAGTGAGGGAAGCCAGTGAATCATTTTAAAACTGCTTTGTCTTCATTATTTGATCATACATTATGTTCTGAAACACTTTTATGCAGCACTTACGAAAACTGTTAGATTCCTTTATTAATGAGACAGCTAATAAGTTAATTGTTGATATCAATTAATGAAAAAGCGCTAACAGTTCACCTAATAACACATATCGAGAGAGTAATACTGTTAGGAGGAGAGCTTGTCAAAGGATTAGTAACACATTAGGTGGCTGTGTTCAGCCATATGAACACTTACTGCGGTCTAGTTGCAGGCCAACACGGGAAGGGTACCACTGGGGACCTGTTCAAAGCAGAAAACACGGCTGTTAATGTCATGGTGGAGGATGTAAAGTTCTCTTTCTGTTAGTATCCTTTTTAGCTGATAGCTATGAATGTAAGGTTAGAAAAAATCCTGTGTTTGGGTCACAGCTATAAAAAGAGAATACAGGCGAGCTATGAGAAGCACACACACATTAGAGCAGAAATCCTTTCTCCCCACTTGAGCATTGAAAGGGCCAATTTCAATTCTGAATACTCCACCAGTGCATGAAAAAATGGAAGTGGGTGCACCACTGGGAATTATGAAGAGGACTCTGTTTATTGCTGTATTTAGCAAGCCACCTTATGAAATATCTCAATCTTGCCTTTCCCTATTTTGATGATGTTGTTCATCACAGCTGCTGAGTCAGTAGCTCTGTTAGTCAAGCAAATAGAGACACAAAAAGCAGAAGCACCTGGGTCACTAATACTGGGTTACGTGTGACTTCCATCAACTTACGGATGTTTCCTAGAAGCAGGTTTTTAAATGCTGGTGTGTACAGGTTGCTCCTAAATGCACAATAGCAGTTGGCAGTTGTTACAAGGTGCCCTTTGCTGGTTTTGAACAGAGACCTTTCACTTTGTTCAAGCAGGTACAGCTGCATTTGTTTCTCTTGGAATCAGAGCAAGTGCCACAGAAAGACTGCAGAGAGATTTCGGCTGTTCAAGTTGTTAACTCGACCAGCTCTTTGTAGTGCCTGTGTGGGGTTTTTGGGCTGAGCCAGCACATCTGGCGTTGGGGCAGCCTGAGGAGACCTTACCCAGCCCCATGGTGTTTGGGGGCAGCCAGGTCTGATGGCAGAAAGTGAGGGAACAGCTGCATGATCACCACCCCCAGCCATTTCCAACGCATTTGTCTTTATTTCCTTTGACACACCTTAGGACAGCAGACAGCCCGAAAGAGATTTGCTCTGTCTTTTCAATTCAAAGTCTGGGTGAAACTGGTCAAATATAGCCATGGTTTTCTTTAGACCTATCTTATAATTGTCAGTATTCCTGTTTTTAAGATATCAGCACTCCCATAGCTTAAACAAATGGGAAAAAATCCTTCCCGATGACTTTGTCGCAGTGACAAACACAGGAGCACTTGCACTGGGAAGCTGTAGGATCTACAGGCCTGGAGGTAGCAGACCTCAGCTGGGCAGGACCCTGAGCAACCTTATACGGCTTGAAAGCCTGGACCAGATGAGCTCCAGAGGTTGCTCCCACCTTCACTGCAGTTCAGGATGAGCAGGAGAGCTCGGCCACCCCACAGCCATCACCTGGAGGGGACAGGGAGCTGTACACTGCACCCACTGCATTGCAGGACCCAGCATTCAAGTGCTCCTTTCAAAAGCATTTGGTTTAAGTGTGAGTTTTGGAGGCAGGAACAGACATTAGATGATCCCGTGAACCAGGGCTAATAGCAAGAGGTGAGACATCCATCACGTAAGTCGCAAGCATTTTTTTTGAGGCACCGCAACAATCCCTGCCTATTAAAGATAACAAAGGGGAGATAGAGAAAGAGCAGCTGTCTGACTTGTCAAGGAAGATATGATTTGCTCCAGGACAGCAGATATCAATAGTTATTTGGGAGCCTGAAATGCAATGTACTTGAGTTAAATTGGAATCTTCCCCCCCAGCACCCCTCCCTCATATTACACTATGTTTCAATAAAAGCCAATTTACCTGATCCTGTGGCGGTGCACTTTTAGGTATGGCTCATAATCTTCACAAGGGCAAACAGAGGTGGTTTAAGCCCATCATCCCACATTTCCAGTCCTTTAGCCTCAGAACACCGTAATGTTCAAATATACTCAGAGATTTAGACAGATGGAAGTGCGCCTTCGCCTGTCTGCAGTGACCTTGATATCACACCACTGCTCCTCGCTGGTTTCCAGGCCATCCTCACGGTGTTGGGTGCACTTTGGAGGGACCCAAAATTAGCTGCTGGGATGCTCCTTCCCAGCTTTTAATATTGATAGGGTGCCTCTGGTTAATGTCAAGTGCAAATGCTATGCAAATGGAGTGGGGGACAAAGTCCAAACACTGTTGTGTTGGGTTTAGTCTAAATGTGAGGGTTTCCTGCTTTCAGTGAGATTCCTGCAGAGATTAATGGCAATCCAAGAGCATGAGGGACTGGTGCTTATCTG